TTTTGTAGGCTTTGAAATCAAACTTTACCTTGCTACATCCTAAGTGGCAATCTGTTGAAAATCAAGATAATTTGCAAGTGCATAGTTTCTGCAAACAGACCCCTCCGTACACAGTGAAGGAGTTTAAGATGACAGGTGGCCCTGGGTGTCTGTAATCCATGCACCATCCATCTCAACTCTAGGCCCACTAACCTACTAGTGCATATCTGTGTAGGATAAGACACCCTCCTTTGTAACAACATACAGGGATTTGATATCTTTCCATGGAATTTATTGGGCAAGTCTTTCAAATGCTATTTCAGGGAAACACAAAACTGTGTTGGTCATGGATGTCACTGGATCCTTCTGTTGTTACTGACATTGAGATACTGAGATAATTGATGCATATTCTAACAACTGGTAAATACTCAGTAAAACTTACAGAAAAGCCTGATATCTTGAGACAATTTAAGTCACTGGGGAGTTATTATGGAGATGAGCGACAGAGAATCTGAATCTTGATTAAAAAGCAGATTCCTTTTCTAAGAAAGTCCCTGTATGCGATCATCCCCAGATTATGGCTCTAATAATGATGGACCTGAGGGGAGTATCAGAAGAGGTGACCTGTCTTTCTGGACTTTCTCTGCTTTTGCAATAAAGTTAATAACATCTCATAAATAGGAATGAAAACAGCAACCAGAAAACCCTATCTATTGACCCAGGAAATATTCTTAGCTCCCAGCTGTATGAAACCAGCTTGCTCCTAAGCATATTTAAATTTTATTCAGGAAAATAAGATGTTTTGGAAGACATTCTCTGGGAAAGGCTCCTCCTGATTTCTTTTAACCAGGAGCCTGGCATCCTGGGAATCTTGGTAGCCTTCTACAAGAAACTTTGTCTTTAAAATAAAAACTATTTATTTTGTTCTGAGCTGCAGCAAAACAGTAGCTTCAAAGAGAATCGAGTCAATGTGTGACATTTATCTTTAGAGCAAACGGACATAATCTTCTCTCTACCGTGTCCCCTTTCAGAAGAGCAGTGTCGCATGTGCCGGGGCTCAGGGTCACATGAAAGAAATCTCCTACTCCGGCAACACCTCTCTTTGCAGGGGGAAAGGCTATCGAGTGATGGACTCTTTAAGGAATTAAATATACTATGACCTGGCAACAACTGAATCCTGTTCAAAAAAGAAGAATAAGGCCAGACCTAAAAGACATCTTTTTTTTTTTTCATGGTTTGGACTTCCCTTGACCTAAAGAAGGTCAAAGAAACGCTAGTGTCTAAATGACTCAACACAAGGCTGGCTTTTCGAGCACATCTCGCTTTGTAACTCCAGAATCAACTTTATATGCCCTTTGTGCAACATTTTGAGAAAGAGCTTCAAAATATAAGCCCTGCTTAGAATCCAGATAGTGTGTATTTTTGTGGATTTTTTTGGGGTGGGGGCTGGGGGGTTATTACTTGTTTAAGTCAGTGGGCAACAGAAACCGTTTCCCTGTGAGAAGTCAGTCCACCCACCTATTGTGAATTAAACTTAGATTTCTTACAAACATAAAAAAGAAAATAGTCATGAGAACTGTTTCGAAGCATGGGTGACAGCTCTCACTGCATTCCTGTAATGCTTCTTAGGTAAAATCGAGTCACACCCAAATCCATCCCCCAAGTGTCTCTGAAACCAACAGTACCAAGTGGAGAAGGGGAGAAGAGGGGAGGCGGGGAACAGATGGAAAGACTCACCTTCCCTTCCACTCCTCAGATTCAAAAACTGGTGAGGGACCTAAGTAACACCAGCCAAATCATCTCTCCATGGTACAAAGATAAACAACAAAACCAGATATTCTATCAACTTCTTAATCCATAACCCAGTCAGGATCCTGGGTATTGATAACATTCACTTTAAGTGACAAGTGCACAGAGGCACTGCCTCGCCTGTTTCCAGTCCATGCAATAAGCAACAGAACCTGTCCGGCAACCTAAACATCCACCAACAGATGAACGGTTAACAAAATGTGGTATATACAGACACATACAACAGAATAATACTCAGCCATTAAAAAGAATGAAATAATGCCATTTGTAGTGACATGGATGGACCTAGAGATTATCATCCTACGCGAAGTAAGTCAGACAGAGCAAGACAAGTATCACATGATGTCATTTATATGTGCGATCTAAAAAATGATACAATCAACTGGTTTACAAAGCAGAAACAAATTCACAGCCAGAGAGAACAAACTTATTAACAAAAGAGGAAAGGCAGGGAGGGGTTAATGAGGAGTACAGGATTTATAGATAAACAACACTACATATAAAATAAACACCAAGGATTTACTGGATAGCACAAGGAACTATAGTGAACATCGTCTAAGAACCTATAATGGAAAAGAATATGAAGCTATACAACTGAAACTAACGCAGTACTGTAAATCAACTATAGTTTAATAAGCAGACTGCAGTTAAATAAAAAAAAATTTTTTAATTTAAAAGAAACAGAACTTGAACTTAGCATGCGCCCACATGGATACACAGGGGATCATTTTAAAAGCCCTCGTGCTTTTTTTTGCGGCCATCTTTTCCCTTGCCTGAGTTTTGCAAAATGAGTATTTCTTTTTAAATACAATTACTCCATCAGCGGAGCCCCATCTTGGAGTGTGAACAGACACACAGGGAAAACAGGGGTCCCTGTCGATCAGCAAAAGAGGTGGCAGGGTCCCGTTTTAAGTTCTTTTCCCTCTTTGTCCGACTCTTTGCGACCCCATGGACCGTAGCCCACCAGGCTCCTCTGTCCATGGGATTCTCCAGGCAAGAATACTGGAGTGGGTTCCCATGCCCTCCTATGGGGGATCTTCCCAACCCAGGGATAGAACCAGGGTCTCCTGCATTGCAGCTGGATTCCCTATCATCTGAGTCACCAGGAAACCCGTGGACATTAAAGCAAAATGGGAGCCCATCTTGTCCCTGGGTTGTAGATCCTACAACCAAACAGGCAAAAACAGTCTAGCCCACCCTGGAAGCTTGAGACCTCCCCTCCTCCTCACATGCATCTAGTCACCTGAATGAAAAGCTCAGACTTCATAACTTGCTGGTTATACCCAAGACTCTTTAAAATGACCAAGCCATTACAGTCAGCCTTCAGGAGACAGTCTTATCAGGTCCTCCTTTCCAAGCCACCAACAAGCTGAAGTTTATTACTATTTTGTATAAGCTTTTCCAAATAACTAATGTCCAGGTGAGTTTATAGGAGAAACACCATTTAATTCAGCTATTTAAGAACCATATGAAGAATATACAAAAAGTAACATTTTACACAGACGGCCATACCTCTCTTTCTGCTGCTCCCCCTAAATGAAATTTTTATAAACCAGGAATGATTTTATTCCCTTATAAAAATTACTTTGGTCCCTCTGTTTGTCTCCTTGTTCCCTAATTTTAGCCATTTCTCTCTTTATCTCACCAGATGGCAGGTGAGAAGTGAGGAGAAGGGAAACTCAGCATTGATAAAATTTTAGGATTTTATTGACACTTCAGAAACCTTGGACTGAGCGGTCTGGATCACTTAAAGAGTCATAAAAGTTCCAGATATCCATTTTCCTAGTTCTAGTCTGCTGTTTACACAAGTTTTAAAGCAATTATAATGAGTACATAGAGCTTATTCAGCAATTTAAATGGAAATTTGTCATAAACGCATCAAACTGACATTAGCTGTGATTGTTCAGTCAATGATTTGCCATTCTAAGCCCCTCTCATCAGTGTGGCTGCAAATAATCAAAAGTTGGCTAGACGCACACAATGGCTATGTTTCTACTGATGAGGACACACATGGCCCACTTCCTGCTCAAGTCTGGCAGGATATCCTCCAGAGACATCTGAAACTCCATACATCCATCTCCAGGACCCTGTTTTTTACCATGGGCATCATTTAAAAACAAACCAGTACAAGAAATGATGTTTCCACTATGAGGACCCAAGTGACTAAGTTTCTCCCTCAGATGAATAACTGTGAACATCAAGGCTCTAGAAGATCGCAACTTCTCCTTTGGAAAGACCGTCCCCATTAGAAAAACCCATGATCCACATTTTCCACATGCACATTCCTTCAGAATCTGATTGGACTGGAATAAAATAAAGAATTTGCGGGAAATGCTTTGATTACGTCTGAATGACAATATTCTTTAGAGTTCTTATACAATAAGAAATTACATAAGAACAGAGTATGTAAAGGCTTATGTCCCACCAATATATTAATAAAAATGCTAATGTAAGGGTATACAAAAGGGGTGACATGAATTGCGAGACTGGGATTGACATATATCAGTAGTGATATAAAAGAGATAACTAATGAGAACCTGCTGCAAGGCAAGCACATTGCTCTGTGTATGACCTAAAGGGGAAGAAAATCCAAAAAAAAGGGGGATGTACGTATACGGATAGATGATTCACTTTGCTGTACAGTAGAAAGTAATACAACATTGTAAAGCAACTATACTCCAATAAAAAAATTATTTTAAAAAGCATATAGTGTGATAAATTAGGGCAGAATAGTTACTGATGACACAAAAGTCCATTTGTGATGGAAGCTGTAGGACAGTAAGCTCTCTCTTGTCAACTGTTTCAAAAGCAGTGAGTTTTTTCCTTCCCCCCCTGTGCAGTGATGCCATGCACTCCATGACAAAGATACTTTGATCTTCCTCCATTAAATATATCTTGTGTGGACCTAGCCTGAACTCAGTAAGGGAAAAAAAAAAAATCGTTTCTATGAAAGGGAAGGAGTACTGTATGTCTCTAAGATTATTCATTACCTTTCAAAAATAAAGCTATTGGTGAAGTTTTTGTGTTATCCATACATGAAAGACCCACCCCGAGGCTGCTTACTTATTTTTCGTTGCTTCTGCTTTTTTATTCCTGCCTCAGATCGGATGGGGAACCCACGCGAAGGAAGAAGGCAATGAATTAGACATTGCAATTGACAGGCGGAAAAAAAAAAAAGACTTAGAGGCTGATGGAAATGAAAGCGTCCATACCTGCGTTGGAGGGCTTAGAGACTCTTCCCTTGGGAACGGGGAGCAACAGTAATTCCAAGGACTGTGGCGGCGGCGGCGGCGGTGGAGGCGGCGGCGGCGGCGGCGGGGTTACTTTCTCTTGCTTCTTCTCCGAAGGCGGCGGCGGCAGAGGGTCCTCAGGCACCAGTGATGATTTCTCAGCCAGCAGGGTCCCGGCAGCCCTCGCGGCGACCTCTTTCAGAAGGGCCGCCGAGGAGGTCATGGAAGCCAGGGAAAGGAAAGAGCTGGCCGGGGGCGGGTGCTCCTGGCCAGGAGTCAAGCTTCTCTCGCTGACTTTCTTGGATAAAGCTGCCAAGGTGGAGCTGGCAGACTGGGAGCTGAAAGGGGAGGGAAAGGACTCAAATCGCACGGTCTCCTCCGTCCTGGTCAGCGATTTGTCCTGCAGGACGGCATTGGCTGCAGCTTTCAGTTTGAGGATGGCGGAATCCGGGGACAAGCCGCAGGTGGTGGTTGAGTTTGGCAACCACTTACCTTGATTCCATAGGAAACGGTTACTTGGAGGGTATTGGTCATTCTGTTCCTGCTTCTCGGCCAGCTTCCTGGCCAGCACGCTGAGCTGCTGGGCGTGGTGGGACGGCGGGGAAAAGGAGAGATTGGAGCCCGCGTTGACGGGGGACTCCACCCTGCCGTTGGCCGTGGCCGCGGCGTCCAGTTTGAGCGAGCCGGCTTCCAGCAGCCGCCTCAAGTTGCTGCTCAAGGGCTTGGCGGAGCCCGGGTGGTCCTCGTCACACAGAGAAGACACGCCGGGGGAGAGGTGATCCGCGCACTGCAGTGGGTCTCGCAGGACCTCCCCGTCGAGTGCCACCAGCTCCAACGTGTGGCTGCTGGGGGTCGCGCTCCCCAAGGAGGTGTCGGGGGACGTGGACTGCTCTTGGATCCGGTCCTCCAGGCACAGCTTATAGTTCTCCTGGACTTCTCCATAGGAGGCTTCCGACGGCGTCTCCGAAGAGTTCCCATACCAGTGTTCTCCTTCACTGAGTTCTCCCTCCGCCTCGTCCTGCCTACTAACATCTGGGGAATTAAGAAGATCAGGTTTACTCCCAAAGCAAGCAACAAGCAAGCCTGAAGACAGGCAAAAATGGAGTCGTGGACATGCTTCCTCTGCCCTGCCCCTCCCGCTCCAAAACCACACGGAAGACAGACAACCTTCCAGCAGGTCAGGGGCTGGGTCAGAGCCTCTGGACATAAGCTTGAAAGGATGCTGAATGGGCCACGGATTAAAGCACAGCCACCTTCTACACACGCTCATCCTTTTCTAATTATCCCAAATCAAGGGAAATGGAAAAGGAGGAATGAAAAAAACGGAGCTGGTAAAGAAGAAACTGGATGCAGAAAATGCTTTTCAGTGAATGGGGGAATCGGGGAGAAGCTTGTGCCCAGGTAAAAAGCGAGCAGGAGATCTTCAAGATCATGTGGGAAGGAAACTGACAGCCAGAATAGGGGGAAACTGGGTGATGAGACCCGAGGCAGTCGGAAGCTGCTTCTCACTTTCTAACTCCACCACCTCAGCTGGCTTGATAGAACATGCAATTCATTAAAAAAAAAAAAAAAATCAAAATATGTAAATAAAAACTTGCCTATTAGATATTCTACCAATTTCACAGAGTTGTTCTGAAGCTTCCATCATAATAAACATGCAACCATGTTTTGAAAAAACAGTCGAGTACTATACAAAAATCAGATCTCACTAGCAAACACTATTCACATTCCTGACTTCTTAAAGGGACAATCTCTCCCTGACTTCTTAAAGGGACAACGCAAACTGCTCGTCTGAGATCCCAACCCTCAACTTGCCGGCCCTCTCAACACAGGCAGTGGTTAGTCATCTGTTCCCTCACTCCACCAGGAGTCCCCTTTCCTCATTTTCTACCCATGAGTTTATCTGTCCCTCCTTACTGCTCCCACTGGGCCCCGGCACCAGTCAGCTGGGACTCTGCTTTTCCAGGAGCACAAGTGGGCTCGGCCACTCCTCTACCTTTGCACAAAATATTCCTTCAACCCGCGATGTCTCCCCCCAGAAGGCCTGACTGTCCAATTCTGCCCATCCTTCAACACCCAGCTCAAAGGATTCCTCCTCGTTATTCTCCCTAGAACCCAGTGTCAGAATTAATTTCTCTTTCTCATTCATTCACTCATTTATTCGACAGCTAATGAGGGAGTGCCTGCCACATGGCAGGTGTTTCAAGACTGAACAATGTTGAACAAAATGAAGATCCTGCCTTCTTCGAGCTTACATTCCGGTGAGGAAAACAGATGTTAAACAAAATGAATAAATGAGTAAATCCCAGAGAAAACCAGAGAGCGGTAAGGGTTATGGAGAAACATAGAGAAGGACACAGAGGACTGGGGTAATGGGTAGGAGGTAAGTTGTCATGTTCAACAGTCACGGTTAGGGTGAGGCTTCACTGAGGTCGTGACACCTGTGCAAAGACTTGAGAGACACCAACAATCGGTCATGCAGCCATCTCTGGGAGCGGGGCCCAGGCAGAGGAGGGCCACTATAAGTGCCCTGATGTGAGAACTTGCCTGGCACATGCATGGACCATCAGGGAAGCCAGCGAGTGTCAGAGCAGCAGGAAAGTCAGAGAAATAACGAGAGAGAGAGAGAGATGTAAAGGAGGGAGGCCGAGCCTATCAGAAGGATGCTGTAAACTACCGAAATGATTTTTTTGCATCTTTTGCAACTGGTGTGACTGGGAATCACTGGAGGGGCAGTGGCGGGGCAGTGACATGACGCGACTTACGGTTTCCAAGGTTTGTTCTGGCTGCCTGTGGAAAAGAGAATGCAGGTACAAGCTGGGAACAGGGAGGCCACTCAAGGTGACTGCAGGTGGGAAGAAGCAGTCAGGTTCTGTACGTATTTTGAATGCAGACCCAACATTCCCACTTTTAAAATACTGATACTGTATCACTCTAAGTGATCTGTCTACTGTGGACTTATCTTCTAAAAAATTAAGTGACCGGGTTCCTGGAAGGTAGGGATGGTGGCTTACTATGTACAGATTCCACATATGCCTCACACAATGCCTGGTCCCTAGAGAGTTCGATGACGCTTTAGGGACGGAGCCAAAATTCCCCACTGTGCCAAGTTTTGCTACATATATCGTGCTGTTTCTTTTCTGAATAGAAATAGCTGGAAGTAGTAATGTCCGAACTACAAGCTAATACATCGATCTTCCCATGCTCTTTAGAGAAGAAATGTCACAAATGACAAATTCTCTTTCACTAAGTTACAGGTCTGCAACTCCTTCCTGAGATTCCTTATTAAGTTATCACGAAAATATAAAATATCAAATGGGATTTGCTGGAGAAAAGCAGGCAAAATTGAGTTTTCTCTGTTAAAAACAGTCTGGCTCCTGGTGATTTGCCACATTTTCTTCTTCCCATCTGATTTCAACATTTGTCATCTTTCCTGAAACCAGCTCGACCCAGAACCACTCATCTCACCAACGGCTTCAAGAAGAGATGCTCTTTACCAACCACCAAGCAGCCAACATCAATTTCAACAACAGGGTTAATTTTATGTTCCTTTTTGTAAATTATGCTTTTGTCAAACTAGAGTAGCTCTCCATAGTCAAGATTGGTGTAGAACCTTGTGTGTATGCTACGTCGCTTCAGTCATGTCCAAAGGCCCACCAGGCCCTTTGTCCATGGGATACTCCAGGCAAGAATACTGGAGTGGGCTGTCATTCCTTGCAGTCTGGGGCAATTAATAAGGTACATAAAATCAGGGTTTTGAGAACCACAAAGAATCACAACCACATCTGTGTACAGTCTTGTCATTTTACTGAGACTATTAAATATTCTTAAGGTTACCAAGTTGGATCTAAGGCACACACAGAGCTAACCTACTGCTAACACTGGAACCAAAAGCCCAAATCTCTCAACATCTGGCCGAGTGCTCCTTTTCAAAGCCCCTGCCAGATGCCCTCTGAGCAGCATCTTCTAGAAAATCTGAGCAGCTGTCCTTCCACCCTCTGGAAAGAGAAATCAGCAAGTGAATTCTCATTGATAAAGATATCGTTCACTCTTATTATAGACCAATAAGAGCTAAGTACCAATTATTTCTATAATTTCTCCATTCCCTCTCTGCCTCTTCTTTGTTGTTGTTCTCAAAAATGGATTCAAATACCTAAAAAATTCGGCACACCTTTTGGCAAAGCCCCAAAGGCAAAGTTTAATTTCTGGCCCACTCCAGATGTGAAAAGAAGACTCACCCCCTCCAGGTGTGCTGAAGCTGGTGAGTGGGTCAAAAACTAAAGAAGTTGTCAATTCAGGCTCTAAGCCCATCAAACAGTGATAAGGAGATCCAAACTTTCCAGCGTGATACAAACAGCTGATAACTACGTTTAAAGCAACCTCCTCAACCTCACCAAAACACAAGCCCAGAACATGCAAACAAAGCATTTCTTAAATAGACCAATTTAAGTCCTCTAAAATATCCATATATTTCTTAACCATCTACTGCTCTGTGCTTTGCAGATACACTCACTGAGATACATACACTCTTTTCTGTACTGCAAGAAAACTCAAATACCTAAAGAGTATTTTTAAAATCATTTTGTTGTTGTTGTTGTTTAGTCACTAAGCTGCGTCCAACTCTTTAGCGACCCCACAGACTGTAGCCCACCAGGCCTCTCTCTCTGTCCATGAAATTTCCCAGGCAAGAATACTGGAGTGGGTTGCTATTTCCTTCTCCGTGGGAATCTTCCACACTCAGGGATGGAACTTGTGTCTCTTGTATTGGCAGGCGGATTCCTTACCACTGAACCAGCAGGGAAGCCCTTTTAAATTCATAATATTCCATTAATCGCTTTTCGGAAGACGCTGCTACTGCAATCGTGGTTATTTAAGTAATAAACCAGCAAATAATTGTAGTGCATGGCCTCGAAGGAGTCAGACCAGAAACCTGAGGAGAAACATCTCTGAAACTATTCTGTCATCACCTGAGGTCAAGTAAAAGCTGGGGTATGCACTCAGAGAAATGAACACAAGAGAAGTTGGGACCCACAGAGGGTGAGAGAAAAACCCTGAAAGTCTCCAACAAATGTGTTTTCACTTCATAAAAGAGCAGCAACAAAGATTTTCTCCCACGCATAAATTAATTTGGTTTCCTTTCTGCTGGGCTGCTGTTTATTTCCACATTCAGTTTTATCCAAGAGGTGTTCCTTGGTCCAGTTTTGGGAAGCTCCCCTTCAGCAAGGTCTGTGGGCCACCCCCGCCCCCAGCTCCTTTCAGGCTGCAGGATGAGAAAGGCTTGTCACTGGGATGCTCAAATAGCATTCCTGCAATCTAAGGGATTAATTTGTTGGACATTTAGAACAAATGAGGCTTGTCTTTTGACCCTCTTTCACAATTTGAGAACTCACCCCATCCCCAGTTCCTTCTCCAGTCCCCACCCCTCTCCCTCCCAGAGCTGGGAGAGCCCTCCTAGAAATGCTGTCTGCGCATCCAGCATCCACCATGGACTTCACAGTTTTTCTAACTAAGTCTCCAGGGGAAGCCTCCGAATGGCCAATGTAAACAACTCCCTTCTAGATGCATTATTTTTAACCTCTAGAATAGGAAGCTATTTCCATTGCTAATTTTACGACAACCTATGTCTCTGACAGCCAGGTTCACACTCATTCCTGTCAATTTTACACAACAGTCTGTTTCCGTGTTTTTCCCTTTAAATCAGAAACTCAGAAAGAATTAAGAACAGAAGCAGCGCAATTACAGAATGAAAACACGCTGAATATATTTTGTTTCCATGTGGCAAATATTTCTCCTTTGGGGAAAACAAAACAAAATTTCACTACCTAACACATTTATTTACAATTCAGTTCTCAGGCAGAGAAACTGAGTAACTTGAGATCTGCCACTCTTGCTGAAATTTTTTTTCAGCTCACTTCCTTTTTGGTTTGACAGTTTTAATCAGGTGCATTTAATTGGACCGATATTCAACTCAAAAGATCCCTGTTCAGAAAGATCAGGAGGAGAGAGAGAAAAAAATATAAGGAGGCACCTAT